ATAGACATACAGGATTTCAGAAATTCACAGTGAAATCTCAGGAGCCTTCTCTCAGAGATGAATGATTTGTGTCTAGAACACTTAATTTCTAAATCTGACAAGATATGGGATCATTTTTACAAATACTATGTATCAAATATAGTAGGTCTCAAAGCAAGTTTCATTAATTTAGAATCAATGAAAGACAAATTTGTTTCCTAACACAAAACAATGTAACTAGAAATAGATGTCTTAGAAGACTACAAATCACATGTAAGTCTCAAAATTTGAATGATACTTCCAATTAAAAGACTAAGTAAAAATGTTAATGAAAATAGCGCGTTCTTTTAAATTCAGTAATAACAAAATGTATGAATATCCAACCAGATAAGATTCAATTAAAGTATTGTGTAAATGGAAGTAAATAGATTGGTATGAAGAGGGAGAAAGAGTGGAAGAATTACTATTAATGAAAAAAGTGTTAAAAGGTTAGAAAAAAATAACGCTTGGTTGAAATGATAAATACAAGAAGCTGTTCAAAGCAGAAATAAAGCAATTACAACAAAAGCCAGTAACAACAAAAACTCATTTGTTCAAACTGTGGTAAAGTAGGTAAACATCATTAGCTAGCAACACCTGAAAAGAAAGGACAGGAAAAATATATGAATATTAAGCAGACAAATATTCTGGGAGAGTAGAAATATAAGAAAATGAGAGAACATTTTTTTAAATGTTAGTGTCTTTTAATAAAAATAAATGGAAGTTTTATATAAAATTTTAATGTTTGACAAGTGGAATTGAAGCAAGCCAACATCTAATAAAGTAGTGAAATGTTAATTGTTAACTTCTGAAGTCCTCCACCAGCAGCTATGAAAAAGTGGCCAGGTACAAATGGGTTTCTGTATATATTTTACTAAAACTTTCAGAAACAATTTTAATGAAAATTATTTATGTAATCCCAAAATAATATATTTTACATAAATATTACAAATATATATAATTCATATATAAAGCATGTATTTTTAAAATAAATTGTTTTAAAATGTAATTAAAAAGTTTACCTTTACAATTCAAATCATATTACTTTTCTACTACAAATATAAAATACTTGGCAATGTGTATAGGGGATTTACATATATTTCATTCACTTATTTCCTAATCTGCTTATCTACAAAATCAAAGGAACATAATAGTAAAGTTTTGGAGTATTTCCATTAAATACAAAAATATTTCTGGGTATATAATATCACTATCCCAAAGTAACATGGTATGAAAAAGACTAGCCAAAGCAACCTCTCTCTCTCTCTCTCTCTCTCTCTCTCTCACTCACACATCTATATAAAGTTTGAAATGACATTTAATAAAGTCTATTCTCAGTTTGACTCTTACCTATTGAATTAAAAAGAACTCAAAATTCATCTTACGAAAGCTTCTGGTGTATTACTTACCTAAAAATTTTAAAATTACATTAAATTTTCTACACACCATAAATGAAACAAATTAGCAAAAGAAATAGATCTACACATTTTCATTTATAGTACTAATTTAAATGTTGTATCAGCACTAATTCTAAGAGAATTTCATAGTGTTTATGGAGGAAAGAAATGGTTTAGATCATAAAGAGAATAACCCATGCTTGCATAATTTAATAATTCATATCTTATAAAGAATTCTACCCCAATCTTTAACTCCAATGAAGTGTCGAGATAAATCATTATACAAAATGTTCTGAATCTTGCAGAAACTCATTCTAAAGTATATGTACCTCAGTTACAGAGGAAAAAACTGAAGTCAAATGCAAAGAAGTCATGATGGAGAATTTACGAAAAATGTCAAGGAAAGTGCAGTGCCTCTAAAGCAATAGTTGGTATCTGTTAGAAAGACACTAGTGCTAGTTTTCAGTATCAAATTATTTCCATCAATATTTACTCTCTGAAAAAACAGGTCTAGACATCAAAAACTCATTGCAAGACATAAGCAAAGACAAGGAAAAACATTAGTCTGGAGAGAAAAGGCAGATCTCAGAACCAGACTCACCCATGCCGTGAGGATAGGAAATACCACACAGAAAATGTAAATAATTCTGATTAATAGTTTGATGGACCCAATGGGGAAATACGTGTGAATGGTAAGGTATGTGAGGGCAGAGAAATAGAAATGCTGGAAATCTAAATCACAGGAACAAACTGACCAATGCCTTCCCATGATCACCAGGACACCTGACAAAAGGGGGACAAACACATGACCCTGAAATCTGCCAATGGAAACTCCTCAGGTGGATATGTACAGATATGAAGAGAACAAACAGGAAAGGCAACACAGAGAATCCAGGAGCTACAGGCAGAACCAAGCACTGGAGTACGAGTAACCGAAAGAGAAAACATACTAGAGAAAAGACTTCAAGAAATAAATGCAAGGCATTATTTAAAATTAGTGACAAATACCAAAACTCAGATCCAAATTCAATTACCAAGTGGGATTAAATATAAATATAACAAAGAGCATCATCAATCAAAAAGCAAACCCGTTCAAACCACTGAAGGCCAAAGACGAAGAAATCCTAAGGACAGCAGAGGGAAGGGACGCACACACACACACACCCCAGAAGAACAAGGGTAATAATTACCTTCAATATCATCAGAAAACATACAATACAAAGGACAATGGCATGTCATGTGTGAAGTTCTGGGCACAGTATCAAAACCTATCAAGCTTCCCTCTGTTCCCAGAGAAAATATCCTTCAAATAAATGAGCAGATACATTGTATTTTAAAATAGGAAATATCCCAAATGATATTAAGATTCATCACATCCTAAGCAAAACCTCAGTACAAAATTATTTCAGATGCAACAATCTGGTTCTAAAATTAGTATAGAACAATAGAAGAATAGATTATTAAGGAGTACATGAAGGAATATGCAGTCCATTTATACTCAACAAAGGTGCAAAAGTGATCAGATAAAGAAAGGATATTTTCAAGTGGTGGAATACTTGAACATTCATACAGAAATAAATGAATTTAACCTGTGTTGAATATAGAAACAAAATATATGTGAGATAAATACAGATGTACACGCACACGTTTTGTATAGACTTATAAGTATATTTACATATACACATATGTGAACACATTATTTTGCCAAACTGCACACGTTAATCAACCTTGTAAACTTCTGGGGAAAAAGTGTAAGCAAAAATCTTTCTGATTTGTGGGGAGATAAATTGTTTCTTATATTTCTCAGTAACAGCTGTCATTATTTTAAACAGAAATTTCAGTACACAACTTTTAACTCCCTAGTCATTCATTGTACTGTGTTTTGAGTTATTTTCTTAGTGGTTGCCTTGGGGATTGCAATTATTATCTCAACTTCAAGCCAACCAGGTTTGATTAACGTAACTCATTTCAATAGTGTATGGAAATCTTGTTCCAATACAGCTCCATGCCCTCCTCTCTCCTTTGTGTTATTGTCATAAGAATTACATATGTGGGTGTTATTAGCCTATAAACACAGCTCTACAATTATTGCTTTATGAAATTGCCATTTAAATAAGAGCAAAAGGGTGCTACAGAAATATGTATATGCTTTTTTATACAAGCCCGTACAATTATCTTCACCTCTGTTCCTTATTCCTTTATGAGTATTTCTGTTTACTTGAATTTACTGTTTCATTTTCTGGATTTGCATGTACTTAATGGCCAATAGGTGTCTAAGGCAATGTTCAATTTTCTTCTCTCCTTTCTTTATGTTCCTCACAGTGGATAATTTGAATTTGCCCAATTTTAGGGCCATGAATTGTTTCTTCTGCTAGATCAAGTCTCCTATTGAATTTATTTCGGTTATTATGTTATTCAATTGCAAAATGTCTAGTTGTTTTAAAAAATAATTTCTTTCTTTTTATTGGTAATTCCCATTTGGTGAGATCCTGTTTTCATTCTCCCCTTTAAATTTTTCAACATTATTCCCTTTAGTTCCTTGAACATATTACATAAACCGGCTTAACATTTTGCAAATGCAGTGTCTTGGCTTCCTAAGGAGCAATTACTATTAATTACTTTTGTTTCTGTTTGTATATACTTTCCTATGTCTTCAAATATGAAATAATTCCTGTTGAAAATTTAAAGTGGCATCATCAGGTGGTGTTCCAGAAATGAGATGTGCCCTTCTTAAGATTTGGTTTTGGTTGTGGTCCTTTTGCTGTTTTTCAGTCCAGTGACTTTTCAGGAACCGCCAATGTGCTCTGTGCTCCCGCTTCTGGGATGTGGTGCCCGAAGCACTCCCCAAAGTGAGCAGTGGTCAGGTAGTGGTCAGTCAGAGCTTTCCTTAGGTGATGAGCCATACACCTGACACTGTACTATGGGACACCATGCGTGTGTCTGAGAACACTTGCGCTTTCACGCCCAAGCTGCTCTTAGCTTTGTCCCAGCCTTCATGTTCCAGTGGAGGACTTCAAGGAAAGTTGGAGGAGACACACTGTGCAAACTCACAGCTCTGCACGAAGACGTGTTCTTGTCCATCCTCTGAATCTCATTTGCTCTGGTCCATGTCAGTCTCCAGGAGCGCCAAGGTTAAAACACAGCTGCTGATTGCTTTTGTCAAATGCTGAGATTTTAAAGAGAGCACTGTGCCAAGTCAGATATTGACAGAGCCTTGTGAATTGGAGTTTTCTAGTTTTGTGGGCTGAACTGGGTCCTGCAAAATCCATGTGTTGAAGCTCCCGAAGCCCAGAATGTGACTTTATATGAAAATAATGCATTTAAGAGTGGTGTCAAAATGGGACAGGTAGGGTAGGCACCAAGCTGATCTGATCGTTGTCCTTACAAGCAGAGGAATGCGATGCTGGCAAGCAGCCTCCAGAACCGAGGAAGAAAGGAGGAAGCCTGGGGACGGCAGGAGAAGGTGGCTGTCTGCAAGCCCTGGAGAGAGGCCTGGAGCACAACCCTGGCACCACCCTGACCGTGAAGTTCTGCAGTGTAAGCTGCCTGGTCTCTCACACTTTGTTGTGACAGCCGTAACTACTGCAGGCAAGAGCCACGGGAGGACCCAAATCATGATGGGTTTCTGGGGAGGGGTTTCCTGATCCTATCTCTATCTCTGGTAGTCACAGAAAACTTGGTTTTCATAGCTTCTATGACTGCAGGTTGATAGTTCTCAGAGGAGGTGTGTGTGTGTGTGTGTGTGTGTGTGTGTGCGCGTGCGTGCGTGTGTGTGTGTGTGTGTCTATATGCATGTGTGCGATGCCAGGCAGTTTTGGAGTGCTTCCTGTGTGTGTGGACTCCCCGAATTCTCAACACAGTGTGAAAGAATCACTCCCATTTCAGAGAGTGACACTGAATTTCAGAAGCAGTTCTGTTCTTGCCCTAAGATCTACCCCCAATTATTGGAAGAACTGAGTATAGAACATGCACAGCCTCCATTAGTACCGCAAAGTCTGCTGTCACTGTGCCAAGTTCTGCAGCCCACTGGACCCTGGAGACTGGGGTATGTTGGCCAGAAGAACATGCACTTACTGGACAGAGTTCAGATCATCCTCCGGGATGTTTTGAGCCAGCCCAGTGTCATCCGACCCATTATCCTGTGTCCTCATTTATGTTCAGGATACAGTCACTTACTGAGATGACTCTTTTCATAGAAACTATATTTTGTTTTTCAGGAACAGCAATCAAGATAAGTCATCAGTCATCTGTATTTGTGAGTCTCCTCCCAACAAAAGAACTCATGTTCAGTTTTAATTGTCACAACAGTCAGGTTGGGAGGTGGGGCTTTTAAGAGCTGGAGAGGCCGTGGCAGCTCTGCTCTCATGAATTAGTGCCAGAGACTCAGGAAAGGCCAGTTGTGGTGAGCTCTGTTATGAAACTAAGCTCTCCCACCATGTGCCAGCTTCTATGAAAGCTCAATGCCACTCACAGACCCCAGCCCTTGAGCTTGGACTCAACAGTCTCTAATACCATGAGCTCAGTACACTTCGGAGGGGGCCAGTTTGTGCAGTCAGTGATGTTCTGCTAGAGAAGCAGAAACAGAACCATGAGAACCACTTGTTTCCCTCCTCTCTTCTCCACCTGCCCACAGTGACTGTGGAACAGGGACCCTGACCCCTGAACAAACCGCCAGATGCCCCTGACAGGAAAGACTAGCAGGCCACTATCGTGGGAACCTCAAAAGCTTGGGACATTTTGGACAGACAGACAAGCATGCTGTCTCCACCACGAATCAGAATCTCCATGCCAGGAAATTGTTTTCTGAATCATTTGTGTGTGAGGTGCTTTGGATTCCTTGTCTGAGATGGTTGTTCCAAATATATTTCTATGAAGCCTCTTAAAAGCTTTGTAAAATAAATTTCCAAGCAAAAAATCCTCTGTATTTCATTCGGAAGCAATCTGAATTAACATAATTCACGTAGAGGTTGCATCTGTGGGGTACAAGCACAAAGGGGCCGCAGGCTGTCAGGTGCCGTGCTCAGCCTGGTGTGCATGGAATGGGCTGGTGCACTGAGCTGCGGTGTGTCTAGGGTTTTATGCCTAATGACATTCCTGGGCATGTGCTGTACTTCAGTAAGGTAAAAAGAAAAACCTTTACATAATACTGGTATTTATAACTCCTTATATAAATTTATAAATTGAAAAGTAAAAATAATGTGCTATAAACAACAACCTGATTCTTCCCTATGTCTGCTGAATACCCATTTATTCATAGAAAGCTACATTTCTCACATTTAGTAGAGAGGAGTTTTCCTTTTTCTTAAATGCCTTGTTAAGAATGGCATTCAACTGCGGATCTTTCTTTCTGAACTCGATTTTCCTCCTCAGTGGAGGCACGCAGGATCAGTAGTTCTGACACTATGTTTCCTGGGATCATGAAGTGCCTTTGCACCCGGCCCCAGCTCTAGTTCTAGTCCTGCTCTTAGTGGCTGTATGGTAAGAGTTGGAAGCAGGTAGGGAGTTGGAGAGGAAAACACATGAGTGGTCCAAGAGGGGGACTAGTGGAGGGTTTGATTCCAAGGAGGCGGAGTGAGGAAAGCACGAAGGACAGAACTCAGCTTTAAATGTTGCTAAATAGTTCTCCTTGAATACGGTTTTGCTCATTCCTGATCCAGAAAACATTAAGATCTTTTCAGAGTCTTCTACTTTGAATTATTTTGCATCAGTTCCCAGGTAGGTAAATAACTAATACAACCTAGGAGAAATGTGTTTACATCATTAAACCATCAGAACTTTCTACTTTCTATCATTCGAAGTACGTTGCCTCCCCCTTCCCCTCTCCCTCTCCTCTCTGTGTGTTTTCTCTCTCATTTTCTTTCTATAGTTAACACATCATCTACCCACGCTTGTGCCCATAGTAAAATCTCTGCTGCTACTGCACACACCCTACCCAGGTATTCACTCACCCTGAATGCAACTTCACAGCCATCAATTTTCAGATGCCCACCTAAGTTTGCCATTTGTCTTCCAGCTTGCTTGGCCATAAACTATGAAGAAGACAAATTTCCCTAAATAACACCTTAATTACAGTGAAGATGCAGTCAAGTTATGGAAAAAAATTTGACGCCAGCAAAGTTTGTCTTATCCCCAGCCCAACTTTCCCTGCAGTTCTGTGAAACCATGTGCCTCTTGGCCATACGACTTACAACTCTCAAGGCGGCTTCCCAGCTCAAGCCAGGGCTGCTCTCTTGTCTTCGGTTCCCCGTTACGAGCAACCACTCACTCTTACAGAGGTGAGACTCTTCGCGGTAACATTGTGTGGAACAAAACTTAAAAACCGAAGTAAGAGAATCATATTTCCGTGGCTTTTCTCTCTCTTCTAGGTGTTGTACTTTTTTTCCTCTCTGATGCTTCCGTGTAAATCTTTTTTAAATGGAGATTCGTGGCAGAGTGTGGAGCGATTCTTCTGCGCACATCACCTTCCTGGATGGAACAAGCTTTGGCTGCTTCCAGCAAAAGAATCCTTTGAATTGAATTCGAGGATTTCTTTCTTCCATGCGTAGTGACCCTACAAATCTCAAGGGAAATAATGAAAACTGTGCTTTCATCTGTGCTGCACCAGAGACCCAGTGTCCTCTCCTCGTCTGTGGTATGAAAGTAAAATTTATTTCCTGTCTGGACCTCGGGGTGACACTGAAGGTCAAATTAAGGAGTGCAGGAGTCGCAAAGTTGTACATTATTGTAGTTCAGTGATTTCCTTTGAATCCCAAATATACATTTTATTTATAAGTTATAATCTTATGTCCCATTGTACTTTTCAGCTTAAAAACTACCAGATTAGGTCTTACCAAAGTTTCAGTAATTGCATTCACAAGTGAAAATACTTTTCCCTGATATTCAATTTGTCCTACTGGGGCCATTTACCCATCACTCATTCTAAACCTCTTTTGATTTTAGAATCACTTTAAAAAGCCATAAAAAGCTCTTGTACAAATCATGTAAAACTGTTGTTCTGACAACATAAATGTTCCGTGCATCAAAAACCACATTGAAATCATTCAAGCGTCTATGAAAACGCATCCGAAAGAGCTGGCTTTATTTTTGATGAGGACCCCCACAGCAGTGAAGGCAAGGTGCCAGCCAGAGGTGGGCACGCTCCAGCCCATCAGTGCCAACAAGCTTGGAGGATTTTCTTCACAGGACAAAAAGCAGAGGCTCAGGTCCCGGCCACCAGCAGGGCCTGCAGAAGAAATAGAGGCTTTGCTGATCCTTCCACTTCTGTCTGTGCCACTGCATATAGATTTTGATTTTGGAAAAATAATAACCTTTTAGATTACCCTTTTTTATCTCAAGATAGTTCTCTACACTCTTCCTTTAAGATCGGTCTGGTGGAACGTTTCATCGTCTTCATTAGTACAGGTTTGTGGTTCACAGCGCTTGCACTCTTTCTGGGGAATCAGCACATGTACGTAACATGGCTTCATCCCTTCTGTGGATCCTCTTTCCCTTCCCTCTCTCCTTCCCCATCCATCTTCTGGTCCCTTCTTTCTGCTCTAGTGTGATATTTTGCCAAGTTTTTCAACTGGAGACATTATGAGAAAAGAACCATTGGATAAGCCTGGTACTTACTGTGCAGCTTGATGGAATGCAGGTCTTCCTTTATCTCCTAAGCACAAGATAATTACAGATAGATACGCCTACTATGTAGCTAAATGAGCAAGTGTTTATTTTATCACAAAACAGATCTTAAAAAATGGGACATCAAAATCACTGTTTTTCTTATCTTTAGGGTTTCTATCTGGAAAAGCTTGCATCAGTTGAAGAGTAGGAATGCTAAATTAGCATCTTAAGAAAAAACAGGAAAGCAAGCTTTGCTCTTAAGTAATTTACGTAACTTTGCACACTTTATTGATGCAACATATTTTTGTTGATTAGTACTGTGTACATGCATATCAGCGGCAAAAGGCACTGGAAATATTTTCTATAAATGTCATTTATTTGCTGGGTTACAATTTTATTTGCTCTCATTGAACCATATGTTTCCCAAGCTTACCATCCACTGTGGGTTGTTCAAAGGGTCCAAGCCTTGTAAGCCCAAGTCCTCAGTCTCTGTATTCTATTGATCATTACTGGGAAGCTTTTGCTGGTGTGTCTTTAAAGTTCTTTCTCCTGCAAGGACGCAGCTGATGTGGTGATTGTGGTGTGGTAACTGGATTGCAAGGGACGTTAAGGCTACAAGTGACTCATTCCTCTTCCCTTCCTTCTAGAGGAGCTAAAGTGTATGGAATCTGCGGTATCACAATATCTGGTGTAATTCATAGGCATCTTTGGGAGAGAGCTGGGTGTGAGAAGGGGAGGAGGGAAGGGGAACGCTGTCAGAAGTCTCTGCTGCTCGCACTGGTATACATGGTGCCCTGAGATGAATCGCACATAGGAGGGAATTTTACGACACTTTGTGATTTTAATCCGGGTGCCCAACTCCCCTCTCACGTACAACGTACGACCACTTCCTCCCCGCCTGTGCAATGCAGCAGGCACCCTGTGCAGATCAATAAGGTGCTGAAGGCAAGACTGAGGTTCTGGACAGAACTCCGGGACAGTCTGTCTGCACTGTTCAGCAACCTGCAGCAGCGACTGTGAACTGAAAGGACTTTGAACCAGCGAGCTTGCAGGAACAGAGCTGAAGACACTGAGATTTCGACATGCAGAAAAATCTGTGTGCAGATATTTTGGGCCGGACACTCTTAACTTCCTTCCCTCTGTATTGTTTTTTCTTAGAGGGCAGCTCTCGGACTCTGCGTTAGAGGAAATGTCTGAGAAGTGTACTGTGCCTAGGCACTTCTCACTTGTACTTGGTTCCGAACACAGATTGGCTGACCTTCCTGGTTTTCTCCAGAACTTTTCAGGTTTTAACATTAAACATCTCACTTTGGGGAAACCCTTCGACAGGATACAGGAAGTCCTAGTTTGCAGTGAGGAGTAAAGACTGTTGGGAAGGCGTACAAAGCCGAAAGCAGCATTGTTTTAGTGTCCGATGCCTCTTCGTAGACTGTCCTCCGGTGGATTTCCGTGGTCACTGCTGTGGTCTGCCCCTGCCCAAGGGCATGGCAGCCCCACCACTGCTCCCATGGAGGTGACATCTAACGCTGCCCCACTCCAAGCTGCATGAGGGAGGGGTAGGGACTCGTGATGGGAAAACAATTGTTCCTCGCCGGGTCTGTGGGTGGGACACTGAGCTCTGCATTGGCACAGAGCTAGTTCACTTTCTTCTTTGTACTTGTTGCAGCCATCTTCTGTGAGGGAGCTGAGAGTGCAAATAAGCATGAGGACAATTCCATGCAGTATCGACAGTGAAGGCTAAAATGGCAGATGGAAGGGCGTTGGCTCTTTAGGGAGAAAATAGCCAAAACCAGAGCATACTCCGCACCATACAGGAAGCAAGAATTCTATTTAATTATTGATGCCTTTATGTATGATCATCTCAAATTCCTCAGGAGTTAAACTGATGTAGAGCAGAGGACTGGGGAAAAAAAACCTAGTCTCACTGTACTTGGGAGAGATTATTACAAGTGGCTTTGAACTCTGACCACATAGAAGTTCAACATAGCAGTGCCGGGATTGCACAGCAGCCAAAGTAAACTTAAGTGTGTGGGCAAGTTCTGTGTGTTTGGGAGTTTATGAAATACTTTGCAGCTTATTCTGAGACAATATCGGGCTGCAAACCAGTGGGTATAACAGAGACCTGGTGTCTGTAAGTCTAGAACCAGCGGTGCATATGGGAGTCTCGGCTGGAAATCAGTGGTGGGTGTCTGTGGTATTCAGTCTATATTCTTTTTTCATAAAATGTTATTGCTTTGATAGTTTACAAATACATGAAAAAGGGGAAGGAAATGTAATGTTTTCCTCTTGCACTTTCCCTAATGAAAGAAAACACCCTTTGGGGCTCTACTTTTTAAAGATCTGAGGCAGAAATTAGTTACTTTCCATTTTTATTTTTCTTGTATTGATTTTTTTTTTTTTTTTTTTTTTTTTTTTTTTTTTTTTTTTTGCAGCTTTGGATCCAAACATTTAGTGCTCTCTTTGGCAGGGCATGCACCGCTTTGCAGCGTACTTCATGTAAATAATGACATTTCCCTCATACAGAGCCCTTTCATAAGGGCTGCAGAACACAGAACAGTTGTTTAATATTCGGATTTTGCAGGAAAACAACTGGGTGCCAGGTGCAAGTGGGTGGTACGAGTGACCAGGCTTGTGTTCGCGTTTCAGATGTGCACACGAGACTGTGGCTTCCTTCAGGCTGGGACCCGCGCCGCCTCACTCTTTGTATACTCTGGCGGTGGTGTGTAACTCGCTCCCCGCCAGCTCAGGTCAGCTTCTGCACGAACGCGTGGGCCTCCTCGGCCACCCTTTTCTGCCTGGGCACGCGCTTCTGAAAGTGGACAGTGGAGGGGGCAGGTAACATGGCCTCACGAGTCCTAGGAGAAGAGCCACAGAGGGATTGGGGGTGAGCACATGGGGCCCCAAGACTTGGCTGCTCTGCACATAGACATTTGCTTTCTTGTCACTTCCTGTAGGACCCTGCACTCTGGAACATTCAGACTGAGTCTGTGCACTTTGGGATCGTTGGATAACCCAGGGGGAGCTGCCTGCCAGGGCTGGGGACTCATCTCCCTCCCCTTGTCTTTGCTCTGCTGCTACTCCTTTGAAACTCTCCTCTGGTCACCGGATTCACTTGCTTGGAAGCCATAGTGGCTACCGATTTAAAATGAAATTGTTCAAACTTTAATGTATTTTCAAAATGTTGTAACTTTTGATGTTCCAAAAAACATTTAACTAAGGCAAAGCTGTAGAAGTATTTCTCCACATCTGGAACTTCTGACACTTTCCCTTACATCACACATTTTGTTTCACTGTATAAATTCTGTCTCTGTATAAAACAAAAAAACATGGCTGCTGATGTTTTCTTCCAAAATCAGGTACACATAAAAACTGGAGGGGAAATATGTAAAAGTGTTCCTCTCAGAACCAGAATGATAAGAAATTTTTCATTTTAACCCTGGGGAACTCAAGATAAATTTCAGTAACTACACATTAGGTCAATCTGATGTAGATAAGAGCACTGTTTTTTACAGTCTGTCTCTAAATCTTACCAGTGGACATCTGTAGTTAACTGCGAACACCCGTAGAATCCACATGGCAGTAACCCTGGACTATGAGTTCCAAGAAGCTTAAGTCACCTGAATATGCAGTATCATGAGGATCTGTACTTCGACAGCACAGGGCAGGTGTTTCTCTGATTTAAAGAGAAATACTATTCTTAGTGGCCGCCTTAGCTATTATCTATGTTAACTCTTAGACAAAGCAAAATGCATTCAGAATTTTTCTAGGCAAAACAAAACCCCTTTTCTGTGATTTCAATACGTGTTTTAGGGATGGAAAAAGAGCATCCATCTTCTAGGGAGGATGTGTTTAAGCACAGTGTGCTGACGACCAAAGTTCTGCACTGCCGTGAGCCAACGGCATAGGTGCTGACAGATTGGACACAGGGAGGGAGCCCGTGCACAGTTTGTTGGTTGGTTTGTTCACTGGGAAAGGAATCATGCTCTTCAGGCAACAACGCCAGCTGAATGCTTTCTAATTCTGCATTTACTGGTTAAAAATAGACCGATTGCTTCTTGACAATCATTCCAGGTTGTTCTACACATTTCCGGGACAAAATCCATGAAAATAATTAGTCAGCATTGGTTTAGATTGATAGGTAGGCTTGGATAACTGAGAGCACAGTAATTTGGACTGTGTCATTTTTCATTATGCCTTTTGTTCTTATTTCTGGGATGTCGGATGTCCTAGATGACATGTAAAAGCCAAAGACCATGCAAAGCCATGTAATTTTACTTTTTTTTTTTGTATGGGGATCAAACTTGGGCCCTTGCACTTGCAAGTCAGGTGGCAAAACCACTGAGATAAATCTCCCCAGCCCCTTGTAATCTGACTTTATTTTGCATCTTATTTTCTTCACTTGCTGTTTGAATTACTAATGCTTTCACAAGCTTCACGACTTCCAAGAGTGAAAAATCTGCATCCTGATCTCAAATGCCATCCACCAGGTTTCAGGATGAAAGCTGCTACTGTTAGTCACATTCTGGTGTATTCTTAGAGTCATCTTAATCATCTGCCAACACACTCATATATATTCACGAATGTGTGTGGATGGGTGCATATACATTAGGCATTCATATATTAATTTACATATAACGTTATGTAACATAAATTAAACACTTATTAAGGGTTTCTAGAGGAACAGAATGGAATAGATAGATAGATAGATAGATAGATGCATGCTGAGGAAGCTGAAGTCCGATTTATAACACAGGAGCAATAGCAAAGGACAACCTCCTCCAGTGGAGTGGAGCTTTTCAAAGTGCACATGACTCCCTCTTTCTTCCCCATTGGCCCTGCCATCAACACCTGGAGTGGCCCCTCCCCCTCCACTTACTGGCCTGCCTGCCAATCATTTTCCAAGACACAACCAAAACTGTGCTCTAATGTGCTGTGCATGCCCTGATCCAGTCAAAGTGATATATGATGATTAACGGTCTGTCTGTCTGTCTCTCTCTCTCACACACACACGCACACACACACACACACACACACACACACACACACACACCTTTATTTATAAAAACATCAACACTATAACACTCACCTGGATCTTGCTGTATTTTGACCAGCTTACCTTGTAACTACATGGATGCATGGGCACATTGTGACATCCAGTGCATTTATACAGAATATGACATTCAGGTGGGGGTAAATGTACTCTCTTCTCAAATATTTGTTATTCCTTTGTGGTGAAAACATTCAAAATCACTTTTTCTAATCTAACTTTTAAAAATTATATAGTTCATTATCCCCAGTCATTCTACTATGCTATGCAACAAAGAAGCAGAACTTACTTCTTCTATTTAACCATTGCTTAGCAGCCCGGCTCGACTTTGGCTGCCCTGAAGGAGTAGTCCAGAGAGGGTTCCACTTTAGCCCACGACCTCTTCCCATCCTCTCCTCCAGGAACATGGCACCTTCAAGGATGGTGTCCTCTGTAGACCCGGAAACTGGTTTCTGCTATTATACATCATGCTATGACACACACACACACACACACACACACACACATTCTTCACATGTTTGCAAGGGCTGTTTTGCAAATGTTCTACTCTCTCAATGGATTTTGTTGTGTCCACCTATAAATTTGAGATGAAAATATCAACTTTGCGTGATTGTTCTGAACCTAAAACAGAAAGTGAAATGTCTCGAGGTGTTTATGGCTAGAGAGTACTTAATAGATAGTAAATATTCATATAATTCATGTCCAGGAGAATAACATATTCATTTCTGTTCTTTGGCATCAGACCAACCCTAAGAGTTTACCTAGTAAAGAATTGAAATGGAATTTGAGACTTCAGGAGCTCAGGTCTACCCAGGGCCCTGTGAGCAGCTGAGCGGTCCAAGCTGTCCATTGCATGCTACAGCAGAGAATGATGTGAATGTCACAGCAAAACATTTGCCTTGTCATCACTGGTGTTAGAAAGTACACTTTTATTGAGCTTTCCTATCTGGTATCGTTAATTCTCAAATTACATGATTCTTGATTTTTTTTCCTCTTCTGAAACAATGAAATATTTCTCTACTTTACATAAAATGCTCTCTACCTTGGAAATTGATGTTTCTAAAGTTAGCCACTTCCTTCTGAAATGCTGGTGGTTAAAATAAAAAATAACACAAAGAATTTTTTAATTAGAATACTCTTCAAAAACTGGTTATCATCCTCATAGGAACATGGATATTAAGAGATCTATTGTCTGGTTTTCTTTCTGTTTCATTCAATTTCATGAGATTATGATGATATCAAATTAATATTCATGTGAGGGGGTAGAGATAAATTTAGCTGGAACAGTTGTTAATAAGAACCTATGTATTTTAGGC